CAGCAGGAAAGGGCGAAGCTCTGGGCCAGGCTGGGCATCAGGCTAGCTATCGGAGAGGGACAGGGACAGGACGTGGGAGTCCGTTCAGCAGAACGAACCCACCCCATGAATGCCTGAACCAATCTCTTGTCATTGGTCATTGGTAGCTGGGTGTCCCTCATGGTCACTGCGAAACAGCTGGCAAACAGGCGACAGCTCCTGTGACACTGTGGCCACACGCACATGAATTTTTGGCTGAAAACTTTTAGTAACATCAGAGGCTTAGAAAGGCTCTGCCCCACGTGGAGTAAAGAGGGTTTCAAGGGATGTCTCCCTGGAAGCTTTATCTGTGAAAGTCATTTTCGATGACGGCTCCCATTCCCCGCTCATCCTTGTAAACTCCAAGAGGCAGAATCTGGCCTTCACCCTTCCTGGTTCTAACCTCGGTCTCTCCAGATCTCCTCTCCCAAAGCTCTGGGCTTCCTTGAGGCATCTTTTTATCTGCTTTCTTTTCTTCCCCCCCCTCCCCCCGGTCTTTCACTCTTGTCTACGCCCAACAGAAACTGACGTGGGAGGAGATGAACCAACAGCCAGGAATCCAGGTCCACAGGATATTCTCAACGCAACACAGAAGGCTCATCGCCTTTGAAAGACTGCCGGGGAAACCCTTGGGACCAGCAGTTAGCGTAATGGCTATGTCGCTGGACTCCCACGTTGTTGACCGCGGTTCGAGTCCCAGACCCACTGGCTTAAACTCACACCGGGCGCGTGTGTGTGCGTCCCCAAGATCCCAAGAGGAGAATGGAGGAGAAGGGATTGTGGTGTGACCATCCCCCCTGGGGGGTGATTTCTCGCTTTCTGTCTCTGTCTCTTGTCGTTGGGAGGCACAACCCCAAAAAAAAAAAAAAAAAAAAAAAAAAAAAAAAAAAAAAAAAAACTCTAAAAAAACCCCAAAAAACATAATATCCCTCTCTGATTGGGAAAATTAACAGAGAGCTCCCCATTTTATAGCAGCCTCCAGATCCAGGACAGATGAGATGACCAAACCAGGGCAATTTTGAGAGTGATGAGGGTCTATTGAAAATTATACCAGGAGGCCAGCAGGTGGTGTAGTGGTTAAAGTGCTGGATGACTCCCATATGGCCCATTGTAGTGTGAGCCTCAGACCCAGAGGGTTGAAACACACCAGGTATGTGTGCATGCATGCCCAAAATCCCAAGCAGAAACCGGAGCAGAGATTGCAGTGTGGCCATCTCTCCTGGGGGGTGATTTCTTGCTTTCTGTCTCTTTGTCTCTCTCAGGGGGGGGCACGCGCCGTATGGCAAACCTCAAAAAAAAAAAAAAAAAATCCCAGAAGGAGAAAGGATTGTGGTGTGGCCATCAACCCATGGGGGCGGGGGGAGGGCGAGGAGTGGTGGCAGGGCAGTGATTTCTCACTTTCTCTCTCTCACTCTTGCTCTCCCTCTTCCTCTGTTTCTCTCTGTAAGCATGCGCCTTTTAGAAAAAAAATAAATCTCGAACATTCTGAGATTATTATAGAAAACAGAACAGAAAAATAGAGCTCTTTCTTAATTCTCTAAGACCACCAGAAAATGGCTTAGACAGTGATTCTTTCATTGCAGCTTTAACTGGTTTCAGAATTTGATGAAAGCGCTGGATTTCACCCAAAAACAGACATCCGACAATTGTGTGCAATTTGAGAGTCCTCTTACTACCATTCCCAAGGGTGTCATGAAATCACTACAGCAGTGCCATTCGATAGGATAATAATGTGTATTATACTACATATTATTATATATTGTATATAACTAGAAAGTTTCTAGTCACCACTTAACAGAAAGTAAAAACAAAGAGAAAATTAATTTTAAAAAAAGTTTTATTGCCCAAGAGCATGTGCGCTTACTAGAGAGAGAGAGAGAGAGAGAGAGAGAGAGAGAGAGCAGCCTCCACTCCACTACCCTTCTTCCTCCACTGCTCCATCCTGTTAGGGTTTGGGCTGCACACACACCCCAGGTGTCTTTCAGGTTGTTGGGGCCAGGACTCAAACCACAGTTGGCCATGTGGGGTCCAGCTTCCTAATCACTGTGCTGTAGGGCCAGCCTCAGGAAAAACTAATATTAAAAGTATTTTTTAACCCAGTATACCCAAAATAGTTTTGTTCCAACATGTAATGAATATAAAGAATTTGAGATTTTACATATATATATAGTATTTAGATAGTATTTAGTCTTTGGATCCAGTGTGTATCTTGCACTTAAAGCACATCTCGGTTTGCACTGGCCGCATAAGTGCTCAGTGGTCACAAGTGACTGGTCGCTGCTGTATTGGACAGTACAGCTCTGAGTGTGGAGCTCAGACCACCTGCATCTTCTGGTGAAAACACAAACTCTCAGGGCCAGCAGGTGGCGTGGGAGTCAAGGCGCTGAAGTCCCACACTGCCTACCGTTGAGTCCCGGACCCGGCAGCTTGCTCTCTCACATTCCCACCCGCTCTCTTTCTGGTGAGTGCACCTGCCCCATAGCAAATTAAAATGATAATAATAAATAATAAAATTTTTGAAATTATATAGGGCCAGCCAGTGGTGGTGTGGTGATTCAAATCTTGGATTCAGTAGCTTGAAAAACACACTGGGCAAGTGTGTGTGTGTGTGTGTGTGTGTCCCAAAATCTTGAGAGAATGGAAAAGAAAAGAGGGCGTGGCCATCCCCCCTCCACCTCTGGGGTTGATTTCTAGCTTTCTGTCTCTGTTGCTCTCTGTCTCTCCAGCAAGTGCACACACCCTATAGCAAAAAATATTAAAAAAAAAAAAAAAAAAAAAAACAGGGATCAGCAGATGGCATAATGGTTATGTCACTCAACTCCCACGTAGTTGTCCGCAGTTCAAGTCTTGGACCCAGTGGCTTAAAACTCACACCAGCGCATGTGCATATGTGCCCAAAATCCCAAGAGGAGACTGGAGGAGACAGGGTTACAGTGTGGTCATCCCTCCCGGGGCATGTGGCCATCCCTCAGGGCAGGGGAGATTTCTCTCTTTCTGTCTCTCTGGCTCTCTCTGTTTCTTTGGTGAGCACACACGCCCTATACCCAATATCTCTAAAAAAAAAAAAAAAAGAAAGAAAGAAAGAAAAAAAAAACAACACAGATTGAGCTGGCTCCATAGGATACTGGTCAGGCACTGTGCATTGGAAGCCAGATCCAGTATGGTTGACTGCAGTTCAAATCCTGGCCCCGGGAGCTTGCAGAACATGCCAGGAGCACATGTGTGCCAAAAATCCTAATAGGATGGGGAGATGGGGAAAGGGGATTGCCCTATGATGACATGCCTTTGGGGGTGCTTTCTCTCTCTCTCTCTCTCTCTCTCCCTCCCTCTCTCTCTTCCTCTCTGGTGGGTACTTGCACCCTCTGGCAATGAGAAAAAAAGAATACAGACTACTGATCCAACCCCACAAATTCCAATTTAGTAAGTCAGAATTGTAACGGGCACCCTAAGGTGAGTTTTAGCACTCCCTCCTGCACCAGCCTCTGGGTAGCTGGACAAGAGGCAGTTCATGCCCGGCTGTTTTACGGGGCGGGCCAGGAATCAACACAGGCCTTCATGTACCCCAGCCCCCTGAGAGAAGCGCACACTGCCACAGGAAGCCACAGCAGGCCCCAAGCTGAGTCCTACATGATTAAGTTTGAGAGCAGTGTCAGCACTCGGAAGACTTTTAAATCTATTCATCCTCTGCCATCTTCTGTTGAAGCAGTTCACAAGAAGTGAAACCAGATATTCCTGGAGAAGAGTGAAGAGGAGAGGGAATAGCAGTGACGGAGCAGCTACGAGCCCCAGATGACTAACAAGCAGATCCGCCCAGCTCATGGGAGCTGGGAGGGAGCAGCCCACATTCCCCACCACCCAGGCAGGGCAGGGGCGGCATGCAGGGAGGGGACCTGCTTTGCTTCAGAAGCTGCTCTTGGTGCAGCTGAGCCTGACCCCAGGGCTCAGAGATGGTGAGGAGTCAGAATGGGAGAAGGTCAGTGGAGGCAGGAAGCAGGGCCGCAGCCCACTGGCTGAACCCAGGCCACGGTGCAGGAGCACAGGGCCCAGAGCGGAGAGAAGGCTGGCTCAGGGAATGTCTGAGGTTGAGACCAGAACACGCTGCAGTGCACATCCAGGGTGGCTGTGGGAGCAGGTCTGCTGGGAGGCTGGGGGTGAAACAGGGTGTGGATAGACAGAGGCCATGGTGGACAGGAGCCATTGACGTCCGTTCCGAGGGCTGGTTTTTCATCCCTTCCCAAACTCTGTGGGAATGATGTCAGGCCGGTAGGAGTATTTACACCACAAAAAAGCAACCAATGCTACAAAGCAGGCCTTTTTTTTTCTTTCTTTTTTTTTGGAGAGCTGGTGGAGTTCAAGCACAGCACAGAGAAGACTCCCACCTGCCAGAAAAGGAACTCCTAACAGATAAAGGACACAGGCAAATGCTGGCCTTCCCACGGACGAGGGCAAATGAAAGTTTTATAAAGACACATTGCTTTCTAAAACATACTAATAACAAGCACTTAAAAGGAGACTTGTCTTCCTAAGAAAGCAGGTGATAAAGACGAGGTCGGCCTTGGCCTCTGGGTGAAAGTGAGAAATAAGATCCAAGACAAAGAATGTGAGGGCAGGTACCACGGCTAGAGAGATCCAGGCAAGCTGGGTGTGGGAGAGCGACAGGCGCAGAGACAGAGACGACTCGCCGGCTTCCCCAGGCCACCCCAAGTTTAAGTAGCACATTCAGCTGTAACCTGAAAGGTTACCTCCCGAATGGAGTTGATTTTCAGCCTTTCCTCTGCCCTCTGGGCCACTTCTGCCTTTCACATTCTCCAGATGTAAAACAGCTCTCTGGGGCCAGGGGGGGCGTGGTGGTTGGGGGCGTGGTGGTTAGGGCGCTGGACTCCCACATGGCTGGCTGAAGAGCAAGCCGGGTCTGGCAGCTGGCTTTCTCACTTCCCCTTCCCCCTCTATCCTCTGGTCAAATTAAATACATAAGGTTAAAATAAAATAATTCTTTTTTTCATTAAATAATATGTGTTGTTTGAATTTTTTTTTAATAATTTAAAAAAAAATTAGTTCTCTGGGGCCAGCAGGTGATGTGGTAGTTAAGGCACTGGACTCCCGCATGGCCGACCATGGTTCAAGTCTGGAGCCAGCAGCTTGAAAATCACACCGAACAGGTGCGAGTGCGTGCCCGAAATCCCAAGAGGAGACTGGAGGAGAAGAGGCATGGCCATCCCCCTGCTTCCCCCCCTTCCCGGAGTGAGTTCTCACTTTCCCTCTCACTGCCTCTTTCTGTCTCACTCGGGCATGTGCATGTGCCCCATGGCGAAAACTTAAAATAAATAAATGAAATGAAATGAAATCGCTGGGTGAGGATGGAGTCTGAAAAAGGTAAGTGTGGCCCAGAGTCTCTGAAAGCCAGAGCGTCCCTGAGCCTTTCCAGCC